CGCAGGAAGCCGCCTCATGGGCACTCACCTCGGGCCTGTCGATGGGCCCGCTCATGTGGTTACGTGGTTGCTCCTCACGGCTCCCAGGGGCTGCTGTGTAGATGGGTGCTACGGCCAACAGGTCTTTCCCTCCTTCCGTCAGGGGTTAATTTGTTGGCTTTCGGTTCCTGTGCTGGAGTAAGAGTGTGTGGTCTCATGGGGCGTCCAAGGAGGCGGGGAGTGAGAAGGTGTAGGACAGCGCCACGTGATTTGTGAGTGTCCCGCGTGTCAGGCGCTGCGGTGGGCCACCTACTCTGTTAGCGCCAGGCCTTGCAGCGCCGTGAAGGAAGGAGCGGTTCGCAGAGAGCGGTCCTTGGACCACCAGTCCCAGCATCGCTCATCCCTTGGGAACTGGTTAGAAATGGAGGTGCCCAGATCCCCCCACCAGCCTACTGACTCAGAAAGTCGGGCGGGGCGCCCAGCAGCGTGTGCTTTCCGAGGTCTTCTGGATGGTTCTGGTGCACACTCACATTTGAGACCCGGTGATCTTGGGTGCTGTAATGACCTTGGATGGCACGATGTGCTCAGGTGAATGGCGTTCACATCGTCTTGCTGGCGAGCTACACTGGGAAGCTGGAGCTGCATCTCCCGGTGGGCGCGGTGGGCTCCAGCTCTGACGTGCAGGCGGGGTGCCCGCACTCCCTGACCGTCCGGGGACTGTGTCCGCGAGGGACCAGTGTACTGAGAGGATGGGAGGCCTAGTGCCGCTCTGCAGTGTCAGGGAACTCTGGAGAAACGGAGCCGTCAGGCAGGGAGGGGTGGCCCAGGTTAACGTCCTTAAGGACAAAGTATCCAGAGCTACGAGGCCTGGCTGGGTGACCTCCAAGGAAAATTCCCATCCAGACACAAATGGGCTTGATCTGGCTCTTGGGTGCAGATTTCTCTCTTATCTCTGAGAAATGTAAATAGTCATTGGGAGCCAGGCCAGATTCTCATCCTGACCCACTGAAAGCGGCCAGGCTGCCCGAGAGAGTCAGAGTTCAGGAGGAAAAGCCTGCGCCCAACGGCACGACTTCTGTGCTTGTCAAGAAGAAACAGGGAAGGAGGGAAGGTGGGGGGAAGGAAGCCAGAGGAGTCCCGAAGGGAGAAGGACCTACTGGATTCTTGTGACTTTTTGGTGCTTATTCGCAAGGCAGGTGTACACATGATTTCTAATTGAAAAATGGTTCTAACTGACAATCTACTTGAAACAGGTCAGTTAGTATAATATTATCACTTACTCTGTAACAGAGTAATTCTCAGGTTTGGACATTTTTTGAAAAAGCCCTGAACAGTTCAGGACACAAACCAAAACATAAGTGCCCCAGGTCGGTGGTGAGACTGGAGGAGGGTGGAACGCAGCCTGGAAAGCACAGCTCTGGGGAGACAGGGTGGGCCCTGACCTGGCCCGTGCCCCAACTGTCATCTTGGGCAAGTTAATGCTCCGCCCTGTCTCTTGAGCTCTAGCTGGAGTACAGGTGGCTGGCTGGCCAGGCTGGTTGTGAGGACTGAGTTCGTGGCTGACTGAGCGGTCCTCACTGGCACCCGGCTGCTGGGCCTTTACCCCAGAGGGCATTCAGCGTGGGCCAAGGGGATGCACCCCCACGACACGGTGCGCGATCAGTTACGACTGCTGTCTCAGGCCTCGGACCAGGAGCTGTTGGAGTAGCCAGGGGTGTCTTTGGGATCTGGCTACGGGACTCCCATGTGAGCACTCTGGCCATCTGGGGCCTGGTTATTCTTTGTGGTGGGGACATCCAGGACACTGTGGGACATTTAGCATCCCTGCCCCTGTCCCCAGGAGCCGGTACTCCGCACCCCCAACCCCACGGTGTGACAGTTATCTCCAGAGTATTGCCACATGTCCCCAGGCGGGGAGTGGGGGCCAGGTGAAGTTGAGTTGGGGTTGTATTCCTTCAGATTTAGGTGGGTTAAGTTGCTCTGACACCCTGCTACGACACGGATGAACCTTGAGGACATGATGCTCTGTGAAACAAGCCAGTCACAGGAGGACAGATACTGTTGGATTCCAATTACATGAGATACTTAGAATAGTCAAAATCATAGGAAGCCAGATAGTAGCGGCCAGGGGCTGAGGTGGGGGTGTGATGGGGACTCAGCGGTATGGGGGCAGAGGTTCAGTTTCACAAGATGGAAAGAGTCATGCAGATGGACAGGAGGGCCACGCGACGTTAGGAATGTAGTTAATACACTGAACTCTACACTAAAACATGATTACGATGGTAAATTGTATGTTATGTGTATTTTATCACAATAAAAAAAAACCTTAGGGGCGCCTGGGTGGCTCAGTCCTTAAGCGTCTGCCTTCGGCTCAGGTCATGGTCCCAGGGTCCTGGGATGGAGCCCCACGTCGGGCTCCCTGATCAGCGGGGAGCCTGCTTCTCCCTCTCCCACTCCCCCTGCTTGTGTTCCCTCTCTCGCTGTGTCTCTGTCAAATAAATAAAAATCTTTAAAAAAACAAAAGAAAAAAAACCCTTAAATCAGTTGGGTATGTTTGTGTGGGTTCTCTGGTCTGTCCCACTGTATCTTGAAACTGGGCAGCCTGGGGCACCTGGGTGGCTCAGTTGGTTAAGCGACTGCCTTCGGCTCAGGTCATGATCCTGGAGTCCCGGAATCGAGTCCCGCATCGGGCTCCCTGCTCGGCAGAGAGTCTGCTTCTCCCTCTCCCACTCCCCCCTCTTGTGCTCTCTCTCAAATAAATAAATAAAATCTTTAAAAAAATTAAAAAAAAAGAAACTGGGCAGACTGATTCCTCCTACTTTATTCTTCATCTCAGAGTTGTTTTAGCTACTTGCTTCCTTTGTCTTTTCATATAAATTTGAGAATAATCCTGTCTCTATCTACAAAATGTCTTGCTGGGATTTTAACAGGAATTGTGTTAAGCTTGCAGATCACTCTGGGGAGAACCGGTGTCTTCCCCGGGTGCTGAGCCTCCCAGTCCAGGAGCGCGACTTGGTTTCTTAGAGCTGCTGTGATTTTCCTCGTTGGCACCTTGTGTTGCAGCACTTAGATCCCGACATCTTTTGTTAGATTTACCCTGACGCATTTCATTCCTTTGAGTGATTGTGATTTTTGATTTCAGAGTCTATGTGTTCATTGCTAGCTTTTAGAAGTATGCTTGATTTCCGTATGTTCATGTTGTGCTCTGAGCCTCGCCGAGCTCCCTTCTGGGTTTTAGGAGTTTTTGTAGACTCCTTGGGATTCTCCAAGCAGACAGTTATGTCATCTGCAAGGAGGGGCTGTTCTGTGTTTCTTTTCGGACCCATGTGCCTTTTGTTCCTTTCCCACATCTTTCTCGCCATCTGAGACTCCCAGCACCATGTTGGATAACTGGTCTGAGTGGGTGTCCTGGCTGTGTCCTGATATTAGGAGGGAGACGTTCAGTCCTTCCTGAGTATGATGTTACTGTCGGGTTTTTGATACAGGTGCTCTTTATCAAGCAGAGGAGGACCCCCCCATCCCTATTTTTCAGGGGGTTTTTATCATGAAGTGGTGTTGAATTTTGTCAAATGCTTTTTTTGTACCTATTGATAGGATCATGTGATTTTTCATTGTGCTAACAAAGGATGGTTGATTACATTGGTTGACTTTTGAATATTGACCCAGCCTTGCATCCCTGAAATACTCCACTTGGTCATAGTGTGTATATCTTTTTTATATGTTGCTGAATTCTATTTGCTAACATTTTGATTTTTGTATCTATATTCATAAGGGTTATTGGTCTACACTTTTCTTTCTTTTTTTTTGTACTGTCTCTGGTTTTGGTATCAGGGTAACACCAACTTCATAAAATGAATTAGTAAATGCTCCCCCTTCTTCTTTTTCCTGGAAGAGGTGTGTAAAATTGGTGTTAATTTTTCTCTAAAAGTTTGGTAGAATTCTCTGTGAAGTCATCTGGCCTGGAGCTTCTTTTCTGGGAGTTTTTAAGTTACAAATTCAATCCCCTTAATTGTTAGGGGGCTGCTAAGTGGTAGGTTGTGTGTTTCCAGGAAGTGGTCCATTGGGTCTAAGTTTTCAGATTTATTTATGCTATTACGTGGTTTTAATAAAGAATCCATTCTTTTTCATAGATTTTGTGATGTATGTGGAATTTGACAGTTTGTTTTTTAAGATTTTATTTATTTATTTGTCAGAGAGAAAGAGAGAGAGAGCGCAAGCAGGGGGAGGGGCAGAGGGAGAGGGAGAAGCCGGCTCCCCACTGAGCAGGGAGCCCGATGCGGGACTCGATCTCAGGACCCCGGGATCATGACCTGAGCTGAAGGCAGGTGCTTCACTGACCCAGGCGCCCCTGAATGCAAAAGTTTTTACAAAATTTGTGATCTGTTGTGACTTCTTTCAGTCTAAATAAAAATGCACTTTTGAATGTAGCCTTTTGTGATCATAATTGTATGTATGTATCTTTTTCTTAAAGAAGCCCCCTCCCCTCATCGGGTAAGAGCCAGGAGCCAGATCCGTCCACCAGAGATGTGTTTTGCCTTTACGTGAAACGTCAGTTGGTGGAGTGAGTTTGGGTCTCGCGTGGGTTAGGTCTCGACAGGGAGTAGACAAGCTGGGAATGCCTTGAAGTGAAACCCTATATGGAGAGCATGGAAGGAAGCATATCAGCCACATTGATTTGTCCGATGTGACACCCAGTGATGGCTCTTCATGCTTTTCCTCAGCGCCCACCATACTTACGCTTGCTTTTTCAGAAGGAGAAGAGAAAGAGAACAGAAGAGACACAGAAGAGTTAGGCTGGGGTGCTTGGGGTGAAGAGCTGGAAGGCCGTCTCTGGCGGGTCCGCGGCCTGACCCCGGGGCTGCTTCCAGCGTTCCCACACTCCTACCACCGCCCTCCCCCAGGACAGCTGATGTATTTCAAACAGGAAACTCTCTGCAGATAAGGCTGCAGACACCAGCCTGATTTGCTGGGCAGCCTGACAGCCCAGGCCGTGCTCGCCTGGCCTGTGGGGCTCGGCGGCCTCTGTAAATAGCAGCCATGAGGCTCCCGGGCGCAGTGTCCTCACGGGTCCCCGACAGTCAGGACGCCCCCTTCGCCTGACGTTCGCTGCAGGTAGGGACGCTCTGCCTGGTGACCTGGCAGCCTTGGGGAGCAGGGCGGGGGTCTGCCAGTTGATGGGAATACACTGAGCTAGGAAGGCGAGGTTCCAGGCGCGGCCAGAGGGAGGACTCAGGTGGGGGGGGTGGGAATCTGTTCTTTGGTCCTCGTGAAGGATGGGGTCTGTCAGATGGATCTGGCTCTAGGATTCCAAGGTCTGATTAATTCAGCGGCTCGTGGTGGAAACTTCGTGGGGCTGGCTCACGAGGAGGACTCATGAGGAGGAGACTTCTCAGCTCCGCACAGGTTCCAAGAGGTGCAGCCATGTTTTCCCGAATCCCCAGCCCCCGTGTGTAAGGTGGCCCTAGCACCAACTGCCTGTCCCCGGGGAATGTCCACCACCTGCGGGTGGGGCGCCAGGGGCCGCATCAATAATCTGTTCTCATGGCCCGTGGCTCTGTTCTGGCTCAGTAATGTGGCAGGACTGGAGTGGGGGGCCTCTGGTCTCCCAAACTGGGTAAGACTTGGTGTGACGGGGCCCCTTCCTCCCCCACTGGCTGTCACAACCGGCTGGCCTTCCGGGCTGAAGTCAGGTAGCGCTTAGGAATTTAAAAGGCGAAGTGGGAAAGCCGCCGCACGTGCATGACAGGACTTCTGATCTGATGGGAAACGCTCTACTGGCCGGGCAGAGCCGAGCCCGGGCTTTCGCCGCGAGCTTTCAGCGCGTCTCCAGCTCGTCTGCGAGTTTGAGAAATCTGGAGGCCGTGAGAGGCCAGGCAGATGGTTTGTGGGAAGCTAGGGGAAGGGCCTCCTCCTCCTTAGTGTGTGCCCTTCGGGTGGGCCCTGGGGGAGACCCTGTGTCACTCTGGGGAGCAAGCAGCTGGGCGGGGAGGGGGTGTCCGTCCGTGGAGCTCTCTGGCACTTCCAGATGTGGTTCTCCGGCTATAAATGCTGCAGCTGTTTAATGAAAATGTGGCATTGTGAGTTTGGCAAATTATACCACTTTTTTTTTAAAGATTTTATTTATTTATTTGACAGAGAGAGAGAGAGAGACAGCGAGAGAGGGAACACGAGCAGGGGGAGTGGGAGAGGGAGAAGCAGGCCTCCCGCCAGAGCAGGGAGCCCGATTCGGGGCTCGATCCCAGGACGCTGGGATCATGACCTGAGCTGAAGGCAGGCGCCCAACGACTGAGCCACCCAGGTGCCGCTATACCACATTTTTTTTCATTGTCTATTTCATTCTTTTTTTAAAAAAAAGAGAATTTCATTCTTACAATGAACTTCTACTAAGAATTCCAAATTGAATTTCCCCTGGGAAACCCTGGCTTCCTGTGCTGAAGGGAGGGTGGGAGCCTGCTGGTCTCTGGCTGGATCAGGATGTGGTTCTTATAGAAGGCCCGGTGGTGGGCCTCCGTTTACAAACAGAATTCCTCTCCCAGGAGGACAGGGAGGAGTTGGAACTCCCCGGGGCAGGCCCCCCCTGCCCCCCACCCCAGGGCTGCCCTGCTCTCTGCCCCGGAGATACAGAAGGCGAGCAGGCGAGGGCCGAGGGCCACAGGGAGGGGTTTGGGCTGCGTCTCGTGCGCCTTGTGCGGGGCTCTCTGCTGGCCCTGCACCTCCTTTCTTGGGAGGTGGCGACCACTGTCCCTCGAAGCCGAAGCTGTGTGTGGGAGCACAGAGTCATGCTGAGCAGTGTGGCTGTGTCCTGACTCAACCATTTCTAGCTGGAAAGGAAACTCCCAAGTCAGCTTTTGCCACCTGAGACATTTAAAAAAATCTAAACCCCATCTGCATCCACAAACACCAAGAAGCAAGTATCTGTAGGCTCGAGCTCAAATGTAGTTGGATCAAATGTTTATCATGACTTTTTAAAAATTGAGATATAATTGACATACATTATATTATCATTACTGTTAAGAGCTACATTCTGGAGAGAACCCACATTTGCTTCCAAAGCAGCAGCTCAGCTTTTCGGTGAAAGACACACTGTGGCAAACAGGCCCGGCTGCTCCTTTGTCGGGAAACCCTTAGGCATTCCAGGACCCAACGGCAGGGCCAGGACCGACTGTAAGGCCATCCCGCACCGGCCGTGCGTCTGAGGCGCCGGCCCCGGGAGTCCCATGTGAATCTGGGCATGAAGAGCCCTTGAGGAATGAGGAAAACCAGTAGCCAAAGACAGCATTAAGTTCCAGGTGTTGCCGCTGTGAACTTGTCTGTTCATTCACTCATTCCTTCATGCATCCTTTTGTTTGCTCAGTTCAGTGCCTGCTAAGCTCCTGCCCAGGGCCCCCAGCGCTTTCCCAGCTGCAAGTGGTGTTCACACGTGACCCACTTCCAGAGCAAGTCACTGGCACTGGGACCCAAGGCCCAGCGACAGGGGAGATGTGAAAGAGGCAAAGCTCATCCCTGCAGACTGTGGGCGAACTTGCATGTCTTTTTCCTTCTCCTCGGAGCTGCTCACTTGTGTGAGCACAGGCAGGCCGAGCGCCAGCCGGGAGGTCCAGCTGGGAGGGAGCCTGGCCGGCCAGCCCCCAGCGGCTTGGGCCTCACCACTGTTACAGTGAGAAGCCAGGTCCAAGGTGGTTTTGGGAATTAAATAAGGTCTGTGTGTCCATGTCCGGCAGTAAATAGTGGCTCCTTTTCTCTCTCCCACACGTGAAATAACACATAGTAAAAGCGCACGGCCATGGTGAGGTAAGGAGGTGGGTGGGTCGACTCTGGGGCTTGGTGCTCTGACGGCTGACAGGAGCAGAAGGGAGAGGTCAGGTGCGTCCGGAGGCCCCACGTCCGACCCCACCTTCCCCACCTGCTAGTGGGGTAACGCTGGGCAGCTGACTTCATTTCCCTCACCTCTGGTTCCCTGACCTGTGAAATGGACGCGATGTGCTGACCAGGGCCGCCCTTCTATTGTCCCTCATTGAGGGGGAACTGCCTGTCACAGTCCTGTGCCGCCGCCGAGGGGGGCTGGGTCCTCGCTGCAGGGTGTCCCAGAGCACACGCAGGTTCTGCCTGTGTCCATTTCATGGAGAAACTGCAGGAAGCCGGGGGCTGGGCAGAAGGTCTCGGTTCAGAGGCTCTGGCTTCCTGCGCCTGGAGCCACCACGGACCGCGGCCCTGTGCCTGGTGACAGCAGCATCACAGCTGTCTCCGGTGAGCACATGCCCCTCGCGGGCCTCTCTGTGCTTCACTCAGCTTCTCCTCGAACTGGCCTCACGGGCTCTTCCCTCCCCTCTAAGACGACCCAGGCCGGAGACAGACACATGATGAGGCCAGGGCACTGGTCCCCGGGCTTCCAGACGCACAGCTGTCCCCAGACCCCGCGCCGTGTGGACATCACAGTCTTAGGTGGGGGCTCTCTGGGTGCTGCCGCCAGGACCGGCCCTGGGGGGAAGAATCGGCGTGCCTGATCCCCACGGGGACGCAGGGCCAGCTGTGTCCTCCTGTGCCTTCTGGCTCTGTCCCCGTGCCACACGCACGGGTGACGGGTGCTGTCTCAGCGACACAGATAACCGATGAGCTATGGCTGCACGTGAGCCCCACAGCCTGATGCTGAGTAGAACGGGCACGCTCAGAGGCTGCACACACAGCCAGTGCCCGGGAATGCTCCAAGGCAGGCAAACTGGACAATATTTTGTTAGGAACACGCTGGTGTGTAGGAAGGCTAGGAAGCCGCAGGAGACACGTGTTCATAGCCCAAGAGTACAGCTTCAAGGGCTACGGACCGGTCCTGGGCCAGGGGACTGCGGGGGGCCAGCCCATCTTGGGGAGCTGGCTGGGCTCTACCATCTGTTCTGGGCGGCGTGTCGGGGTTTCCATAGCACCACACGTGTGCCTTTGTGTGTATAACATATCAGCCACAGAGAAGTAGAGGCAAGAATCTGGCGGCAGCCCTCAGGATGGGAGTCCCAGCGTGGCTGGGCAGGGAAGGCAAAGATGGGCCCCCGAGGGAGAGACCCGAAGGCTGGGAGGGGCCCCCGACAGCTCCCTGCGCCCTGGCCCCGGCCTGCATGCTGTCACTCCCCGGCCCCGGTGTCTGAGTTCCCGTCACTGAGTCCCCTTCCTTGATGTAGGAGCCAGCGTCCCGCAAGCGCTCGTGATGAAGAGGGATCTGGCTCTGATCGGCCTGGCCTTCCTGTGGCTGCTTCCTGCGGGACATCCTCAGCAGACAGCGGAAGAGGCCTGCTCCCTGCACATTCTCGTCCCAGGCCTCAAAGGTAACCTCGACCTCGGCCTCCCAAGTGCGGCTGAGGCCCGAGGGCTGGTGCTGCTGCCGGCTCAGGGTCTGAGGAAGGTGTGCCTCACTTTCCCCATCTGCCAAATTCAGGGTGGACTACATAATGTCTACACTCTCTTTGGCCAAGGGATTCTGTAATTCTGAAGCTAGCCATATATCGGCACCTCAGCCCACAGGGACCCCATAAAGGCTGCTAACATTTGTTCCAGGCACCACACATACTATACCTCAGATGACTTTCAGGATGAGATGATCTCATCTGGTCCATTTTGCAGATAAGGACATTCAAGGCTCAGGGACATTTAGCAACATAGATAATCGATGAGCGACCGAAATTGGGTCACACAGCTATGAAGCCCAGGCTCTTCCCCTGGGTTCCTGAGAGCTCTTAATTTCTTCTTTAAAAAACAAACAAACCCCAAAAGTTTTTCTCTTGTTGGCTTTCCCATAATTTCCTTCCAGGGACAGCTTTGCTCTGCAGAGCTGATGGGGGGGGGGCACTAGCCCCCGGGAAAGTATCAGCCCTCAGACTGGCATCTTCGTTTAGAAAAGTCCCTGGTTTCTCCATAGCACAGGCAAGAGATTCCAAAACCTTGTAATTCCCAAGCAGGATCAGCTCCACAATTCGAGGGCCCAGTGCAAGATCAATGTGGGGACCTCTTGTTCAAATGTTATAAAAAAAACTTTGAAACAGGGACAGGGACATGCCCCACGTGGGGCGGGCGAGCTTGGGCCTCCTGCTCTAGGAGCAAGAGGCCTGGGTGAAGAGGGGCCGGCCCGAGACTCACTCCCCAGATTCCCTTCTGCCCCTTCCTTCCCACTCGGTCTACATGGACCCGGCCCCAGAGCCTGGTCTCTGCCAGATGGGCCTGTGGTGGGGATGCTGCCAGGTCTCCTTATGGAGACGTTGGAGGAAGCAGACTCACATTTAGGGGCTATCAACCGTGATGAGAATGACTGCCACCCAAGACAGAGCTGGGCGTCTCCGGAGACCAGACCTTTGTGAGGCAGTGGGGCCGGTGAGGGCAGGTTCCAGCGGGGGGCGGACGAGACAGGTGGCCTCAGTGAACAGGACGGGGGGTGGGCTCCTTGGAGGACAACAATGCCAACGCAGACCCTGCTCCCGAAGGCTTGTCCTCTAGCAGGTGAACAAGACATGTCCCCAGGTTGTGCGGAAGCCGTGTGGGATGTTTTGGGGCCTCGGAGCATGCATTCCAGGCACCCTGATAAACAGCAACATTGTTCCGTAGTCTTGATGGCCACAGTCTGTCCACACCAAAGGGACAATTCCAGTGGAGTAACTTTTTTTTTTTTAAAGAGTTATTTATTTGAGGCGCCTGGGTGGCTCAGTCGTTAAGCGACTGCCTTCGGCTCAGGTCATGATCCCGGGGTCATGGGATCGAGCCCCACATCGGGCTCCCTGCTCCGCGGGAAGCCTGCTTCTCCCTCCCCTACTCCCCCTGCTTGTGTTCCCTCTCTCGCTGTGTCTCTCTCGCTCAAATAAATAAATAAAATCTTTAAAAAAAAAAGAGTTATTTGAGAGAGAGGCAGTGTGCTCGGGGCAGGGGAGGGGCAGAGGGAGAGGGGGAGAGAGAATCGCAAGCAGTCTCCACACCGAGCGCCGAGCTCTATCTCCCGACCCTGACATCATGACCCCAGCCAAAATCAAGAGTCGGACGCTTAACTGACTGAGCCACCCAGGCACCCCGAGAAACTTCTTATCACACTTACTGAAGTCCCTACAATCAGCTTCACTGAGGTATAATTGACAAGAAAAAATTGCATATGTTTAAGGTGACAGGTGAATTCACGGAAACCTTGTGAAGTGATGTCACCTCACATCGTTCCCGTTCTGTGTATAGGGGTGGGGGCGAGGACTGCAGGGGTCTTGTTCTGGCCCAGGAACAAGGGGCCCTGACTAACACACACCTTTGGGGACTTTGCTCCTCTGAGACATGACTTAGCCTCTGGAGCCTGCTTCCTCTCCCGCCGAGGGGTGACCTCCTCTGTAGAAGCAGGTGCTGGCGAGCCAGGAGCGCCCACGGCCCTTCCTCAACTGGCCGCAAAGACGTCCAAGTACCTGACGTGTGTCTTCGTGGTTGGGTCGCCAATGACCCCAAATGCCATTGAGGCAAAAGCTTTGTGCCATAGATCATCATGTGACTGGCAGGGAGGCCAGCCAGAAGTAAATTCTGGCCATGGGTTCTTTACTTCTTTGAGGGAGGAGGGGGCAGGTTGTCAATATGGTGGAGCATGAGATCGACACTTGAAATGTCAGCCTCTCGTGGTAGAGAAATGACTCGTCACATAGAACTTTATACGGCTCATCGGCCCCAAATCAATGCCTGATAAAGGAAAGGATGTGGGGAGAGGACACTGGGCTCCCTGGGCAGACAGTATGGAGTGTGCGGGAGTTTTGGGGGAAGAGGCTTATAGCAATATGGTCCTGGGGTTCTCACCAGCGGGGACACAACTCTGAGTGTCCCCCAAGACCAGCAGCCGACCGTTCAGGCCCTGCCCACAATGAGTGGCACTTGAAGACAGCTTTGTTCTTGAGAAGCACATCTAGGCTGGGCTCCAAGGAGGAGGCCAAGGTCACTAGGAAAGAGTGGGACCAGGAGGCATCCGCCACTGATGTCTCCTGAGGGTCGGTGCATGGGACTGGATGCAGCTCCTGCAGCAGCCCCCACGTGCTGTCTTCTAGGACACGTTGTGCCCCCTCCTCGGGCTGGGGGGCTTTATGCCGCCCAGGGGCTAGGGAGGCTCTCTGCCTCTGGGCTCTGGACGCCCCCACCACAGGGACCACAGGGGAGCTCAGGGCGCCTGCCCCCCACTACTGGCCGAGACAATCGCCCATGATGCAGAATCTTGGGGAGAACGATGTTTGAGATTTTCTGATGATCTGAGAGAGACAAGACCCATGTGAGGTGGAAGTCTTGTTTTTGATGGAGTGGTACTCCTCCTTCCCCTTAGGAAGAGGACTTGTGGGGCACAAGGTAACGCTTGGTGCGGCTCAGGGACTTCGGTCCTCGGAGCCTTGCGGCGCACGCAGGTGTGGTCAGGCTCAGCAGGTGGAGAGCCGGCGGCGGTCAGGAGGGCTGCGTCCTCACTGCTTTGTCTCTACGAGGAGCGCGAGGCTGGGTGCGCAGTGTTGGTCCACTGAGGGTCTGCTTATCTCGGTCCTTCTCTGTGAGGGCTCCGATGCCCTAGGGAGGGGTGGTCAAGACATACAGCCTACTTCTCCTGGCCGGGCCCCTCCTCTGTAAGGTGGACGTGATCCTGCCTCACGTGGTGGGGCGGGCTTACGGGAGGCATGTAGGGGAACGCCGGGTGTAGGCTCTGGGGCTCATCTCCCCCCGCCAAAGAAAAGCTGGCGGGTGCGCTTCGCGTGAATTTCCTGCAAGTGTGCACAGAGCACCTTTGTGATCAAGGCCCCCCCGCCCCCCGGGCGCATCGGGAGACCCCGAGCTGGTGGGATGTGCACTCCACCTTCCAGGGGTTTCCGTCCAGGGGGGCCGGCACGTGGAAGCAGGTGCTGTCCCGCAGGGGTGACACCCGGTCGCCTCGGCGCGGACTACCTCAGCCGTACACCTGCCCCTCTCCCCGACACGCGGGGCGGGACCGGCTATCTCCCTGGGCACGGCGCGCCGGGGCTTCCCGCGGCCCCCACGCACGAGCTGTGCGCTCCGGCTTCTCCCAGCCCGCGCCCGCGCACCGGTCACTTCCCGTCTCCCGGCCGCCCACCGGTGCAGGTGCTGTCCCCCTCTCTCGGAGCACCATTTCCCCTGGCTACGGCAGGTCTCAGTTAGAAGTCACTTCATCAGAGCGCTTTTCTGATCTCTCATTCTCAATTATGGCTTTTTCGGGTTGGAATTATTGCCTTCTTTTATCTTACTTTAATCTTGTATCCTGTGCTGCTGATGAGAATTCTTAGGTCAGCCTGACTCATTCAGGTGCATGTCATCTTCACAAATTCTTCCTCCTCTTGGGTAACTGATAGAATCTTCTCTTTATTTTTGAGGTTCTGCAATGTCACTGTGACACGTGTAAGTTATTTTACCTCCTCTCTTCCGCGTGGTTTTCCTGGGCACCTGCGCTGTGTTCTCCCACACCCTCCCATAGTGCGGGGAGCTCACAGCTCCTAAACCTGCACGACTGTCTCGGCTTCCAATGTCTGTTCTCCCTTTTCTGGAATTCCTTTCAGTTGGATACTGGAATTTGTGGGGCTTTTCTTCACTTTCCCCTTGATCCAAACAAAACTTTCCAGTCCTTTATCTCTTTGTGTCGCCCTGTGAAAACGTTCTTCATCCTGACCTTCTGTTTGGTGAAGTGGCTTGTACCATTGGCCACTCTGCTTCTCAGCCTTTCTGTAGAGCAATTCGTTGCAAAAATTCATTTCCTGTGCAAGATTTCTAGTTGGTTCTTTTCAGTGCTTTTTATATTTGTTCATAGATGCCTATTCTCTCTTGCCTTTATGAAGATATTCAGCATCTTATTTCAGGGTCAGACACTGACTGCCCCAAAAGTCCCTTTCCTCTGTTGGTTCTCTTCTGGATGTTGGTGTTCCTCAAATGCCCACAGGTTTTGGTGGTGAGCTCAGTGTGTTAGTTGGTATTTCCTACTGGTCTATCAATGTGTCTCGAAGTATTGCAATTGTAATAATTTCCTTTTTTAAGAACGGTGAAGTACCCAGAGATTAAGCGCCATGTATGTGTGCTAGGCGTGTGTGAGCCCACCCTCCAGCAGGGGCCTGGGTGGAGGCTTCAAGGCTGGGGCACGCAGGGCACAGTGACAGGCCAGCTCTGTCTTCTGGTTGGTGGCACTCACTTTGCTTTTCTCTTTGTTTACTTAAGTTTAAATGGGAAGTCCCCTCCTTCAGGCCAGATGATCAGTTTTGGGCATCTCATTGGGGAATCTGTAACCTCAGTTAGCCTCTCACCAAGTGTGAGTGCCCAAGGAGAATCGCAGAGAACTGGAGTAACTTAGATGTTGGCTGGTGTTGTGCGTACCTGGGGAGGTACACCGAACCCCTGTCGGCACCCGTGTGCTCTCATGGGGGCACGGTACAGCAGTCAGGCAGACGAGCCATATAATATGGAACAAGGGCCTCGTCACCAGAGAGAGGAGGTAGTTGGTGAGGGAATCAGGAGGAGCAACCTGGAGGGTCAGGTGAGAAGGTGGCTGCCAATACCTGGGCTCCAGATGAAGACCTACTGAGGACGGTTTTTAAAAATGGGACATTATTTGTCACCACATTCAGCCTTGGTGGTTTTAAGAAGGGACATAACATAATTGGATCTGTGTTTTAGGAAGACGGTTTTGGTGTGGATTAGAGTGGGGGGAGGAGGGGGCCTAGGGAGGGACCTTGATGTCTCCCATCGGGACTCCACCCTCCGCTGCTCGCGGGCTTCTCCACGTTTTGTGCATGTCTGTCCTGCATGAGCACTGTGAGCGCAGTCCCCAAAGCCGCACGAAGCCCCGGGGCCGGCCGACTGGGCCAGAACATGGACAGGACAGGGAGTGGGCCGGTCAGACCCCACAGAGCTGGGCAGAGTCTTGCACTTCGCTGATGAGGGAGACAGGAAAGCAGAGATGATGCTGGGCCCGGGGCTTGCAGTCCGGGAGAATCAGTGTGTCAGCCAGAACCAGGAATGTCACAGGAGGGACTCATCTCTGGGGAAAAACCATCGGGTCGATTTGCAGCGAGCTAAGTGTGGGGTATCAGGAGATGAACAGCCCATCTCCCTGTTTCAGTTCTGAATGAGATAAGTGACAGATCAAAGACGCGCAGGTGTCTGCCAAAACATGACCAGGACTCATGACAGGCTGGGGGGCATGTAGCCTGGGCTGAGAGCAGGACACACTTGGCCAGCAAACCTGAATCAGGTGGATGTGCCCACCTCGTCACAGGCTCCCCAGCCCCGAGTGTGTGCTGCAGGTGGGTGTGGGGGGCTCATGCTGAAGGGACCAGGGGATGCTGATGTGAGCACCTGTTTATTCTTTCCAGGCACATCAGACAGGTACAGAGGGACACCGCGGCCACGGGAGATCCTCCAGACCCCTGCTCTCCTCATGCTGCCGTGAGGGCAGGGGGTCAGCAGCGCAGGCACAGGGGGTCTCGGGGAGTGTTGTGCGCCCGAGGACAAGCTAGCCCAGAGGGATAATTGGAGAGAGGGACACAACATCCCTAGAAGGGAAAGGAGGGTGGAAGCAGAGTCCCGACACAGATCTGGGATGGGGAAACCTGAGAGCCCTCGGTGATGGAGGGTGGGAAAATGGGGGAAAGCCGATGGGGGTGGGAGATGGTCTGGATGAGAGATGAAGTCTCCTGGGGGCTGGGGCGGGGGAGAGAGAGGCCAAGGGGCCTGGCCGGCAGCACACACAGGGTGGGCAGCTGACACTGGAATCCGTGCTCACGAGGAGCTCCTAAATGCAGTGCCTTCTTCCGCAGGGGACGCTGGAGAGAAGGGAGACAAAGGTGCGCCGGGACGGCCTGGGAGAGTCGGCCCCGCAGGAGAGAAAGGTACCTGCTGCCCCTCGGCCCGCCGAGGTCTGCCCAAGAGGGCACAGCTGCTGCTCCAGCTGCTGCAGGAGCCTCAGGGGAGAGGCAGGGTGCGGGCACTCCAGAGGACTTTGACACCTGTGTAGTGAGCCAGGGTGCAGAGAGTGCTCCTTGTGCTCCAAGAAACAGAGTGCGTCCTGGGAGCGGCACATAACAGTGTGGTCACGTGTGTGCAAACTCAGTCCCAGCCCGGCCCCTCACCAGCCTCCTCTGCAACATGGGGGTCATTTGGGAGCGTTACACATATAAGTGCAATTGTGAGGGTGTGTAAGAAACTCTGAAGGTGTGTCAAAATTATGGAGAAGTGTAAGCATGATGGAGGTGTGCCAAAAGTTACGGAGGTGTGCAAACGGTGATGGAGGTGTGCAAGCAGCGATGGAGGTGTGTGAGCAGTTGTGGAGGTGCATAAACAGATAAGGAG